CCAAGGAAGAGGGGTCTAAAGTTGACGAACGCACTCTCAAGCGTCGCCATCCCAAGCTGTCCTGGACTCGGAACTCTGGGGAGTCTTCTGCCGTGGGCAATACTTCCGCTACTCTTTTAACCGCGGCCACAAAGATGGACCAGGCACGTTCAAGTATGCAGCGGCTGGCCATTCAGGCCGCTCAGCACACTTCAGTGGAGCTTGGTGGCTCATCATTGGTGCGCAAGCGAGATTCACTAGAGGAAGGGGAGATACTTCCGGATCCTAAGGCTGCGTGTCTGAATGCATCAGAGATGGATGCTGGTATTGATGAAACTGATGTCAGGGTGGAGGAAACCGGCCCAGCTCGGTCCCAGTCCACATCATGATTGTTCTAGCGTGGAATTGCCGAGGTTTTGGCAAGGCCTTGGCAAGGATAACTCTCTCTGCCGTTGTAAATAGTAGAACTCCCATGATTGTTTTCCTTTGTGAAACTAAGTGTCGTGATATAAAAGTGATGAACCGCTTGCGTCGTTTAGGCTTCGTTGATTGTGTCATTGTTAGTCCTATCAATACTGCAGGTGGATTGGCAGTAGGTTGGACAGGTGATATCAATTGTAGGGTGTTGTTTCAGTCTGGATTCTTTATTGGATTAGAGTGTGATCACCAGGTCTATGGTTTAGTTGCTTTTGTGTTTGTCCATTTGGATTGTAACGAGGCTTTGCGCCAACTACAGCTGAATGAAATTGTTGCTTACCTTTCCGATTATTCTCATCCCTTTTTCATTCTTGGTGACTTCAACTGCCTACTAGTTAGTTCTGAAAAGATAGGTGGTCGGTCTCCTTCTCCTCAATCTCTATCCTTATTACAGAACTTTGCTGCTCATCTCATATTGCAGGACTTAGGATTCCATGGACCGCCATTCACATGGTCAAATCGGCGATCACCGAGTGAGCATATAATGGAGTGGCTCGACCGGGTTCTTGCTTCTAGTATGGCTGTTTCATCTTGGCCTGGTGCCCAGGTTCACCATCTCTCGGATTTGGGATCTGATCACAGAATCATCCTTCTGCAATTGCATCCTATGGATGCCAAGACTAAGGCCAATTTTCACTTCGACAGCCGCTGGATTGGCAACGAGGAGGCAAACCAAATTCTGCTGGCACAATGGCTTTCTCCTGTAAGTGGAACCTTTCAGTTCCAACTGCATGAGACTCTCAAATTGACTCGTCACGAGCTGTACAAATGGGCAGCCTCTGGGACGTCGAACTCAGCTCGTCAGATCAGAGAACTTCAAGATGCGATCTCCGTTGCTCGTGATCAAACCATGATTGATTGGGCAGGTATTGTGTCTCTTGAACAACAGCTATCGGAAGCTTATTTACAGGAGGAGATTTATTGGGAGCAGAAGTCCCGGACTCTTTGGCTCACGTGGGGTGATTCTAACACGAAGTTTTTCCACCTGACTACCCTTCAAAAGCGGCGACGGAATCGCATCCTACTCCTTAGGGATGACGTTGGTGGGATACATACTGATGAGGATGCTAAGGGCGCTGTAGCAGTGGCTCACTTTGGCAATCTTTTCGCATCAGAGGCGCTAGAGGAGCTCTCATTTGTGGCCAGCCTTAATCTGCCAGTTCTTGTGACTGATTCTATGAACTCAGCCTTGATTGCTACTGTTACCCGGGAGGAAATAAAAGCTGCAGTCTTTTGCATTGGTGGGTATCAAGCTCCAGGTTCGGATGGATTCACCGGTATCTTCTTTCAAACTTATTGGGGTCTGGTCGGCGATTTGGTGACTTCTGCGGTACTAGAATTCTTCAACTCAGGGCACCTCCTTCCCAATTTCAATCATACTTGGATTACCCTTCTTCCTAAGGTTCCGAATGCTGAGATGATGCGTCAGATGCGTCCAATTGGTTTGTGTCAGGTTCCCTACAAGATCATCTCCAAAGTGCTCACTTTAAGGCTCAGGGATGTCCTCCCAAGGATCGTCTCACCTTGTCAAAACGGATTCGTGAAAGGAAGGCTCATTACTGACAATGTGCTTATTGGCCAAGAAGTGCTTCATTTTTTGAAAACTAAAACCTCTGGTCACGAGAAATGGATGGCTCTTAAGCTCGACATGGAGAAAGCTTACGATAGGGTTGAATGGGAGTTTCTTTTTGGCGTTATGCGACACCTGGGCTTCTGTGAAAGATGGTTGAGCTGGTTATGGGCCTGTGTGACGTCAGTATCGTACTCGGTTCTGCTCAATTATTCGGCAAGGGGATCCCCTCTCCCCTCTATTATTCGCACTCTATACAGAAGCATTTACGTGCTGCATCAAGAGAACAGTGGTGACGGGGCTCCTCCATGGTCTGAAAATTAATCGGCTGTGTCATCATCTGCTTCAGCTTCTGCATGAGTACCGGCAAGCGAGCGGCAAAAAGTTAATTGGCAGAAGTCTACCATCTCTTTTAGTGCCAATGTAACAGAGAGTGAGGCGGATTCTCTGATTTCCATTCTTGGGGTATCAGCTAGTACTCCGCAGGACTTCTACTTGGGGCTGCCAACCTGTATTTCTCGCTCTAAACAAGAATCGTTTGCTTTTATTGAAGACCGGCTGGTTCAGCGATTGCAGCACTGGAAAGCAAAATCGATGACTCTTGCTGCCAAGGAAGTGGTCTTGAAATGAGTGGCCACGACATCCCCAATTTATGCCATGTCAAGTTTTCGACTAACTCAAACCTTTTGTCGGCGGCTGAATGGTCACTTGTCTCGCTTTGGTGGGCTCAACAGGACCGGGATTCAGGTATGCGGTGGACATCTTGGCGCTCTCTCTGCAGACCCAAATGCAATGGTGGTTTGGGTTTTCGGGACTTTGATAGCAACAACTTGGCACTGTTAGCTAAACAAGCATGGCGAATCATTCAGGAGCCGGATGGTCTTCTTGCTACAACGTACAAGTGTCGGTACTTCCCCCATACCACTTTCCTCCTTGCTTCGCCGAGTTCCCGCCCTTCTTGGGCATGGCAGGGAATCCTTGCGGGTAGGCACTTGCTGTTAAAAGGGTTGCGCTGGCGTATCGGTTCCGGGACATCAGTGCGTATTACCGATGATGTTTGGTTACCCACGACTCCTCCGTCCCGGCCTCAACTTCTGCCTAATGTCGTTCCACCTTTTCCTTTCGTTTCTTCCCTCATCGTTCAAGGTACTGGCACTTGGAACTTAGATTTGCTATACAATTTATTTGATGCTGCCACGGTGCGTCTCATTTGCAGCATTCCGCTCCCGAGGTTTCCAGTTTCTGACCGGCTAGTTTGGCATTATGAGACTACGGGTGAGTACTCTGTCAAATCTGGATACCATCTTGCATCTGCTGATTTCATTGCTAACCCCTCCAATACTCCAATTATATTTGACACTAAGGCTTGGAATTACTTGTGGTCTCTGAAAGTGCCCCCAAAGCTCCGTTTCTTTCTGTGGCGGCTCGTCCATGGGTTCCTACCTGTTCGTGTCATTCTTCGTGACAAAGAAATCATCCCCGAAGATGACGAGGAAGGGGTTTTGTGTCCCATTTGTTTATCCGCTCCTGAGACCTTATCTCACTGTTTCTTTGAGTGTAGGTTGGCCGAGGCGGTCTGGAATTTACTGGACTTGGGCCACATCCTTTCTCACTTACGTAGTGGCCATATTGCGATTGGTTGGAGGTGGCTCTTTTTTTATGCAGGTTTGACGGCTCAAGCAATTGCTCGACTAGTATTCATGTTCTGGCGTATTTGGAAAGGGCGGTGTTGGGCGGCTTATGATCTGATGGTGTTTCTCCCTTCCACCCTAGTGCGACAGTTCGACTCACAGCTGGCAGAATGGGATTTCGTGCAGAACAGTTCATCGATTCGGCGGGCTGGCGGTCCAATTGGTCCAGGAACTGCTAGCGATGCTACCTCTCCACCTTCGTGCCCTGCGGATGGAATTTTAGTTCATTTTGATGGGGCCACTTAGGCTGCAGTAGGTGGAGGAATTGGTTTTGTGGGGTTTGGTCCAGGAGGCGCCATTTCGGTTGCATTTGGACGGTTTTATGACTTCATCTTCGACCCTTTCATTGTTGAACTCATGGCTTTGCGCGATGCATTACGTTGGTGTCTCAATAATTCATTAACTAATGTGACGTTCTGTGGTGATGCGCAGGTGGTCATTCGGATGGTCAACGCGAAGGATACGTCACACGGGTTGGGGGGGAGCCATCATAAATGAGGTGCTCGTCCTCAGTGCCTCGTTTCAACGTATCTCGTTCCATTTCGCACCTTGGAGGTACAATAGGGCTGCCCATATCGTGGTGAAAGATGCCCTCTTATCGCGGGTTCGACTTCTGGTTGACCGGCGTCCCTTGCTTGTTTTTTAGTTTTTGACTTTTGGTCGAATTTTGTATATACTCGTATCTTGTTGTTCCGGTTGGAATATCTATGGCAAAAAAAAAAACGTGCGTGATGTTTTACTTTTAACTTTTAAGTCTTAACTCGGGTAAATTACAAAGTTTGGTTATTTTATTTTACTAAAAAAAGTTTACATTTGTCACTAAAATTATAATATTTTATTAGTAATCACTCAAATTAATTACACAATCTAAATTTGGTTACTCTCCGTCTAACTTCATTAATTTTGTCTGATGTGACAATCAACTTTTTCAATTCGATTAATTCTTATCAAATTAGTATTTGCAATTTGTGAGGGTCGTTCTAGCTATATACAAAATTCCTGATTAATAATAAAATAAATCAATTTTTCGATGAATTCCATAGATTTATGCAATTGGTTACTATAATCGTACAAAAGAGATAAAACTAATTGGGGATTGTTAGAATATGACTTGAATTTGATTTGGGTTTGCTTTGTGTTTTAGGCCTATTCTGTTTGGGTTTGGGATTGGGTTTTGTTTGACCTTTTTCCTTGTATGTTTGGGAAAAGGTGTTTGATTTTCTGTTTGGGATTAGGAGAAGAGTTCTATAAATACTCTTCATCACCCTAGTTTGTAGTAAGGTCAGTCAGGTTAGTTTGTTTGGTTTGTCCGTTCCGGAATTTGTTTTGTAACCTGTACTCTCCTCAAATTAGTGAAATTTGTTCTCCCCTGCCCGTGGATTAGCTAGCACACATTGTGTTAGTGAACCACGTTAAATTTGTGTTCGTTCGTGTTGGTTTGGATTATTGATTGCACGCTTCTGTTCTGACAAGTGGTATCAGAGCCTTTGGTTGCGGTTTTGGGAATTTGGCGCTGGACTGAAGTTTTGCTTTGTGGAGTTTGGTTGGAGCTTGTTTGATAGTAAGAATGGCTGCTATCAGTATGAAGATTGAGAAGTTTACCGGAAGAAACAGTTTCAGTTTGTGGCAGATCAAGATGCAAGCACTGTTGAAACAACAGGGTTTGTGGGCTCCGTTGTCTGAAAAATCGAAGAAGAAAAGCATAGATGAAGAAGAGTGGATTACTTTGGAGGAGAAAGCTCACTCTACAATCTTGCTTTGTTTGGCTGATGACATCATCACTGAGGTTGCTGCTATGAAGACTGCTGCGGGTTTGTGGTTGAAGCTTGAAAGTCTATACATGACAAAGTCTTTAACCAACAAGTTGCATATGAAGCAACGTTTGTTCAGTTTGCTTATGGAGGAAGGTATGTCTCTCAGGAATCATCTAGATCAACTCAATACTATCTTGCTAGATCTGCGGAATTTTGATGTTAAAGTAGATGATGAGGATGGTGCCTTAATTCTGTTAGTATCTTTGCCACAGTCATATGAGAATTTTGTGGATTCTTTTATTGCTGGGAAATATAGTTTGTCTTTGGAAGATGTTAGGTCTGCTCTACATACTAGAGAGGTTCGACATAAGGCGTCTGGTTCTGGTTCGGAAAATCAGGCATCTGGGTTGGCTGCTACGAGTAGTAGGAGACAACAATCTGGTAATAGGAAGACGAATACAAATTCGAATTCTGCTGGTTTGAAAGATGATATTTGTCATTACTGCAAGGAGAAAGGGCATTGGAAATTTGATTGTCCTAAACTGAAGAAATATCAGGAGAAGAAGGAATCATCTGCTGCTGTGGCGGAAGAAACTAACTCTGATTCTGAAGATGGTTTAGCCTTAGCAGTGAATGAACAGGTACACCATCAGGATGTGTGGTACTTAGATACTGCAGCTGATTATCATATGTGTCCAAGCAGGGAGTGTTTTTCAACTTATGAGCAGATAGATGGAGGACATGTTTCTATGGCCAATGGTGCTGTCTGTAAGATTGTTGGAAGAGGCTCCGTCAGGATGAGGACACATGATGGTTCTGTTCGCACCTTGAACAATGTTAGGCATATTCCAGAGATGACTAAGAATCTGATATCTTTGAGTCTACTCGATGACAAGGGTTTCAGTTTCAAAGGTGAAGGTGGAGTGTTGTCTGTCTACAAGGGTTCTAAGGTAATTTTGAAAGGTGTCAAGCGGGGTGCCTTGTATAATCTACAAGGTTCTGTTTTGACATGTTCTGTTGGTGATAAGTGCACCAAGCTGGTTTTGAATGGCAAGTCACAGCATGGGTTGGATTTGCCGAATGGTTTGAGTTGTTGATCGCCCTTAGGGGCATTTGAAGGCAGGGGAGATTCTGATACAGCTTATTTGGAGGAGTTTGGTACGTCTGCCAATTTTGATTGCATATGAGTTTGGCGATTTGCATCGCATTTGAGTTTGGCGATTTCGATCGCATCTGGGTAAATTTGGCGATATGTATCGCGTCTGGGTACATCTGGCAACTTTGGTTGCGTTTGGTACATCTGGCAACTTTGGTTGCGTCTGGTACATCTGGTATTTGACAGAGAATTCAAGTCAAGGTGGAGATTGTTAGAATATGACTTGAATTTGATTTGGGTTTGCTTTGTGTTTTAGGCCTATTCTGTTTGGGTTTGGGATTGGGTTTTGTTTGACCTTTTTCCTTGTATGTTTGGGAAAAGGTGTTTGATTTTCTGTTTGGGATTAGGAGAAGAGTTCTATAAATACTCTTCATCACCCTAGTTTGTAGTAAGGTCAGTGAGGTTAGTTTGTTTGGTTTGTCCGTTCCGGAATTTGTTTTGTAACCTGTACTCTCCTCAAATTAGTGAAATTTGTTCTCCCCTGCCCGTGGATTAGCTAGCAAACATTGTGTTAGTGAACCACGTTAAATTTGTGTTCGTTCGTGTTGGTTTGGATTATCGATTGCACGCTTCTGTTCTGACAGGGATATTAGGTGATTTGTTGGTATCTAACATATACAAGTTAAGTTAGCAAGTCTATAGTTGACCGTTAAATGTGTGATGTGACCATTAAAAAATAAAAATATTTTAAAATTTCCACCTAATTATCATACTAATTAAAAAAATATTTTCTCATAATTCCCACATGCTCGACCCAATCCCTCTCTCCTATATCCGAAAAAAAAACCTCAGCCCTCAGCCTCCCCGTCAAACTCCCACTCGCCGCCGCCACCAAGTCTGGCCAGCTCCCTTATGTCATCTCTGTCATCAAATCCATGCTCTTGGAAGAGCATTTGGAACGTGTTTAAGGTTGATTTAACAAAACTTTCCAAGGTTTTCTTGCGACTGTGGAGCTGGTCGTGAATCAACTTTGTCGTAAATTGCAATTTGGAGCTGAAAAATCAATTGACGAAGGCCTCCAAAAGATGATTGGAGGTATCACGAGACTTATTCAGGTTTACATAACGTCTTATAAGTCCGAGGACACTCTCATGAATCTAGCATTCCATAGTCATATGTCAATTGTGGTGGTTGTTAGTGTCTTTATTATGTTCTCTTGTGTATATATTGATGTTAATGACCATTGTGATTTACATTTTTATGTGCCCCTATGATTTAATCAATATTGTGTTTAAAAAATGTCATGTGTATATTCAAGTATTCAATATGACAATCCTAGCATAACATATGAGACTTTGTGATATTTGTATCCTGATACTACTGTTTTCCGTGAGAAATAACGGGTGACCAGATCGTGATCAAAGCAATGTTGACTTTTAGTGACGTGACAAACACGTGGCATTCACATATATGCCACATGATCAACACATCATATTTTCTAATTCAAAATTTAATAATATGATAAAAATAATCTCAAAAGAAAAAGAAAATTATTTTCTCCTCTCCTCTTTGTCTCTCGTTCAATCGGAATCTCCTCTCTGTCTTCAGATGACCCGCTTCCAGCTTGCCATTCTTTATCTTCCCCCATACCAACCATCTTTCTCTCTCCAACTCATTGCCCTTCTTTTGTGCTCAATGGCTTTCCTCTCCTGCCGCCCTCGTTGTCTCGCCTATCTCTTCCCTGCTCCTTCCCTGACCCCTACATTTCTGTTTCTAATTTTGTTTGCTTGTTTCTTTCGGGGGATTGAAAACGTAAAAAAGGATAGGAGGAATGTCGACATGTCATTCAGTTCCAGAGGAAGAAAGATAGAGCCCCGCCATTGGGAGGCCGAACATAGCAGATGGATGGTTATGATTAATGGAGAGATTAGAGAGATGAAGACGATGATAAGAGAGATAGCGACAGTGAGGGTTTCAATTTTTTCATTAAACTAATGTAGAATTTATGCTTTAAATTTATTTAAATAATTAAAAAATCTATGTCTTATGACACCTCAACAGACAGTGCAATGACCATGGACTACTCACAGTCAAAGTTAACAAAGTTAACGACTTAACGGAGATGAAAGTTCGTGTTAGCATTGTTATATTTAATATCTGAGCATATAAATGATATTTTTTTGATAGTTGGGATGATCAAGTGGAATTAGACCAAAATGTTTTACTGGCAAATGCATTAATGTGGGAGGACTTGATAACCCGTATTTTATAATATTTTCACTTCCTTATGTACATTATTTAATGTGTCATTTCTACAATATTTCTATTTCGACCATTTTGATGCTTTGTATAGTGTTTTAATATGTTTCAGGTCAATGGAAGTCTATTTGATTAATGATTATATTTGGACAAGAAACACACGAAGTGTTGAAGTTTTGGAGCATTAGACAATTTTGAGAGTACTTGGAACATGTTTAAATTTGATTCTACGATACTTTCCAAGGATGCCTCATGGCCATGGAGCTGGTCGTGGCTAAATTCCAACATATTGACAATTTGTAGCTAAAAAATCAATTTACGAAGGTCTGCAAGGCATCCCTACGGCCGTGAAGGTCTCCAAGTGTGTTGATAACACCATATTTACATATGTTTTACCTGACATTTCTTGATCGTTTTGCTTGACTTTTGATTGCTTTGTGACACATTTTACACTAGGTAGTGCTTGTTGTTGATGTTTCAGTTCCTAGTACGTGAATGGAGGCTTAGGAGCAAGTCTGGGTGCAACTGGAGAGAAGACGATATTCGGAGGACAAATCAACAAAATCCACGGTCTGGGAGTCCAAATCCACGGCCGTGAAATTAAGGTTTGGACCGTGCTTTTTAGGTAGTAATTTTTCCAGGTCTAGTGTATGCATCCCATGACCAGGGATTTATCTGGGGATACCGTGGATTTCTGTCGAGGACCACTATTGGGAGATGTGTCGTTTTGGAATTCCACATTTTGGAGGCCATTTCCACGACCTTGGATTCTGCCCGTGGATTTCAGCCATGAGGCTACTAAGGTGAAACTCAGGTTCTTGGCCACTTATATGGTTTTGGAAGTTCTGAAATAGGAAGAGAGAAAGTGACGAAGAACATCCTTGAGAAGGGTTTGGAACGATCTAAGGACATTGTAGCTCGATCTTTCATCCTCGGAGTTTCGATTTCCAGCTTGGAGCAGATTCTCATCCCTCACATGATGATTTTTCCTTCAAGTCTTGTGTTTTCTCTACTCTCCATGGAGTAAACTCTCTTTTCGTCTGGGTATGAAGAATACTAGTCGTATATGTTAGGAATGGTTGTATGAACCCGATTTCGTGGATGATTGACTTGATATATTCAATTGAGGTATTATTCAGAATTCCATGAGTCCTGATCAAATTCTTGTGATTCCTGCTTTAACATAGAACTATAGTCTCTGCATAGGTTAATAAAGCAACCTTAATAGGAAGTAGTGAATCGATTACTTAAGTCGAGGAATCGATTCGCTACTCTATACTGGAATTGACAACCACTAGTGGAAGTTTGGTGTGTTAGTGCCTTAGTTAGATTATTCGATGAAGGTTAGCCACCCGTATAGTATTCAAACTGAGAGGGTCCAGAATTCTTTAGTCGAGATTCCAGACTTGTCAAGAACTTTTCGCTGTACATCTGACAATTGAAATGAATTTGGAAAATTACAACCTGAACTAACCACAGGCTAGGAGGACACATACCTGGGTGATCTTTCCCATACTTGAAACCAAAATATTTTCTGCTTTCTATTTACCTTGATTTTGGACATTTCACTCGATTCAACTGCTAGATAATATATTTGAATGGAGTGACCAGTAGATCTAAGAGCCGGGTTGACAAATAGAACATGAACAACTATATTGTAGTCCCTATTATTGGTTATACTTGGCCATTGTAAGGATTTGTATTTTAGCGAATCATGTTTCCACGGCCTTGGCCGCCCTACCCTAGAATTGTTCTCCAGTAATTTGCAACACACGCGAAAAAGAGGAAAATTTTGATTCCGATTTGGAAACTGCCCATGCTTTGCCCCACGGTCGTGGATGGGGCTCTTTGTTGTATATCTAAGTGAATTTTAAATTTTTATCAAGGGGACTGCAACCACTTTTAAAGTAAAACCTAAAATAAGTGTTATAAATGAGAAAATAGAGATTTTCTAACCGCTTAACCCCGAAGAAATCATTTTGGAGTGACTGATGAAGTAATCAATCATGGAGGCCATCTTCTTCATCTTCATTTTGATATCTATTCCCTTTTAACTAAACCTCTTTGTTGTTTGGATGAGATGAACCCTAGCTATGTTTTTTTTCCTGAATTGATTGGATTGCAATATATATGCATGTTTATTTTCCTATGATCTATCCTTGATTTACTTTGCAAGTTTTCAATTGAAGTCGACCTCTTGATTGCTTATATATGTTGTGTGTATGACAAGGAGGGCATCCCATATGCATAATAGAACATTTTGGGATAGAAGGGATTGATCGTCTATAGGGTATGGAGGACGAGGGGCTTCTAGGTTAAAGAATGAGTAATTTTTAGATTAATTGATTCTTGGTCAAAGAGGGCATTGTCAAGAACCACTTGGTCCCAATAATTCGAGTTGTTGGGAGAGGTTCAATCATAGATAATGGTATAAGATCCATGACCCCCAATATTAACAGTTGATTAAAGTACAAGGTATGGTGATTGCCTATGCAAACTTCAAACCCATGGGTTAACTTTCGTTTGAGGGGGCGTGTTAGAGAATGATATAAGATCCAGCAGAACCCTCTCCCAATAACTCAAGTTATTGGATCGAATGGTTCTTGACAGATATCAGATCTTGGGTTAATTGATTGAGTGTTAATACGCGAGGATATCAGGTTAATGCTATTTTTGAAATTCCTACGGTCTGGGAATAATAGATCATAGTTGGATTGTGTCTGGTTGATTCTTGACAACTAGCTAGGGGATTGAATATGAACAACGCCTTATATGCTTGGGTTTATATTAGTCAAATTATCAATTATGTAGTAATTTTTTTCTTTTAGTAGAATTTATGAGTTAAAATTACTAAAAGAATCGATTAAATATTAGAAAAATAACTAATTAGTAGTAGTCATCGTATATGTGAGATATGCCTTTACTTGATATTATATTTCTATTTTTTATAGATATATTGCTAATAACAACCAGTACACTTTTTTTAAATAATCGTACTTGGAAAAAAGATTATCATGGATCATCTACCCCCCCCCCCCCCCCCCCCCCCAATCCGTCAATTTTCAGTTGGTTAATGATGTTCTTCTACCCAAATGAAAGGTTGGGCTTCTTGAAATTAGAATACTAAAAAAAGATTAAAAAAAGATTTAGAGGGAAATTTCCTGGTTTGACTAAAGTAACTGTTTCAATGAGAGTTTTACCAAAGAGACCATTTTTGGTCCAGAAAAAGAATAACTTAAGAAAAATTTCTGGTTTCTTATTGGTGTGTTATGGCAAGTGCATTATATCCAGTACATCCCGAATCCTGTCAGACCTGTGATATGCATTTTTTTAGCTTCATGTGTTTGGAGATCATACGTGTGCAAGGCAATTCGTTTTTTTTCTTCCCAAAATATGGCAAATTTTTTTTTGAAATTCCCGCAATGTGGATATCTCTAATGATATATAATTTTTTGTTTGTTTCCTGATGCTCTATCTCAAAATCTCTCACTCAGTTATCTCTCGTGTTCGTGCTCATATGGACAAATTTGAAAAAAAATTAAAGTAGCCTCATATGATTAAATCGTTGTGTTTACGTTTCTCTTCTTGTCCTGGCTGCTATGTCTTGTATGAGTTTTTGGTAGCTATTGCCGTTCCAATTATCTACGCAAGCAGCGGCAGATACAGGACATAAGAGAGCACTGGGCCGCATTTGAATAGAATATTAGATACCATAAAAAAATATATAATAATATAGTTTTCATTACAATGCCAATTGTACAAGAAGATCTTTTAATTTAACAAATTCATCAATAATATAATCTCCATCCATACTGATAATATACTCTTTTCAAAAGAAAATAGCTAAGTAATCAACGAGAAATTCATCGCTCATTTTGTTGCACAAATTAATGTTCATGTTCCATTGCTGAAAATATTCTCTCCATGGTAGTTGTTGAAACGGCTAGGTCAACACTAGACAAATCAACCGACAAATCAATTTGTATTGTGTGTCCATCCCTGTTTCCTCCGGCTTCTCTAATAATTTTGCAAGAGAATAAACTTCATCTTCCTCACATGAGTAGTGCATTCTCCAAAGAATGCCTCTCATAGCCTTCAAAATCTCGAGGCTAAACTCTTGAGCAAGTTTGTAAATATTTTCTTCATCAAAACACCAGAAAGAACGGTTAGAATCTAGTGCCCCACTCAATTGAGGCAATTTAAATGATAACTCGGCAAGTTTGTAAATATTTTCTTAATCAAAAGAATGGAAAGAAAACCAGCTCGACGGGCTGGAGGAGAAATCCATTTTGGGTCTGCCCGTCTTCTCGTTCTTGTTTTGTTTTGGGGGGATTTGGAATTTTTTTGAATTTTGCAAGGAAGGGTGTGCTTTAGTTTAGAGTTTTTATTATTTTAATGAAACTTTACACTTTTAGGTTTTCATTTCTTTTTTCAAATAAAATCATTTGCGGTATATAAAATTTAGTATAAATTTAGAGTGATGGTTTGGATATGTTCATCTGAATCATTTTCCTAGTTACACAAAATTCTATTATCAAATAAAACTGGAAAGAATTTTAACTAGCACTGGGCCAAATACCTAAATCCAAAAAATTTATAAGCACTAAACTAACTCTGGATCCGGAGGAGGGCTGGGCCGGGGCCTAGGTTGGCCCAGCCCTTGTGTACAACCAAACCCACATGCATACATACAAAATAACATATATAATAGTAGTTTTTACTAGCATTATACTAATTCTCACATTGTCTTTTTTACCCTTTTTAGTTTTAATTTTTGCGGTGATAGGAGATTTTGTTCTGCATTGGATTGCGGTGGAATCAGTTGTTCATATTGGTGTTGACAAAAATGTCAAGACATAGTTGCTGCTTCTCTTGCGGTGGATAGCTTTGCTTCTTGAACCATCCGCTTGGACATGTTATGCTTGTTCATTGTTCACCAATTTGTTAATCCTAAAACAAACAAGAGTAGTGCTTCTTTTGATCAGCTTCAAAAGACTGGACAAGAAGCACTATATACGCAGCGCAATAAGCCAATTCCTCTTTATTACAGCTTGAAGAAGAAAGTATTGTTCTTTTTCCATTTGTCCTAGGAAATAAAATCCTGGCTTTTCCTTTGGCCAGCAGCTGCTCAGGCACTAGTGACTTCAGTTTGCAGTACATGAGCCACTGTACGTACAACTTAGCGCATTCACTCCCATTAGCTGCATCCTCTTTTGCTAATGCAGTTGTAGCCTGCTGCACCAATACAATTTGTGGAAACTGCTTAGTTCCGATGGATTGAGAGCAGAATATAACTGCAAATAATGGAATTGTTGATACAAATTACATCATTTTACCCTAGTTTTGTGGTTCTTGGTGGTGTAAGATCACGATGATCTTCGTCTTGTGGCTGGCTGAGCTGGAGACGTACAGGCACATCTGAATCCTCCTGGATGGTCAGACCATTGATGAGAAGGGAGTTTCTGTTCGCTTCTCTCGCCCCGTAAACCTGCAGAGTTAAAAATTGGCTGTGAAAATGCTGACAGGAGACATGACCCACGACGATCTGATGAAATCGATTTTGTTTAGTTTGCAACGAGCAATAGGTATGCATGTCTAAAAGCATATACCTTTTTGTGTAATTCCACGTTTTCCTTTCGTAGTAGGGTTACCTTCTTATAGAGCTCCACATTTTCTTGGTGGATGAGGTTACCCTGCAGCAGTACTTGTTGTAGAGTGGATTAGATTGTGAAATGAGCAATGGTCGAATTGGGTGCGAGAGTATTCGTCATTCACCTTTCTGTTTAATTCTTGCACTTGGTCCACTAGGACTTGGTCCTAAGGAAGGCCAAATACCAATTATCAGTTAGTTAGGCTAAACATGTAGTACACCAGATCATATCAGTTTGAGTGCTTAGGCATCAAACCTTTTTCATCCGAACACCTCTAAGGCTCATCTCCAATTGGGTTTCTAAATTCTGTAAATCCTTTATACCCAAGCCTGAAAGCTCTTCACCCATCATTTGCCTGTTAATTATAATATACATGCAAAAAATCAATTCCCATAAAAAAAAGCTTTATTTTCACCTGCCACTCTCAACTGCTACTATCATATCATATCAGATTGCCTGTACGTAGTTGTTAATATTTCCCAAGAGGCGAAAGGGAAAGGTTCATTATACCTATGGTTTTCTTGCAAGCTCTGTAGCTGTTGCTTCAACATTGCTGCCTCTCTTTGCCAGAACTAGCGAGTTAAGACCACAAAATTTTTGTCAATAGGGCTCAGTAATCAAGTGCATGTATACTCTCTCCTGCTTGAATTCAGGGGCAGTGAAATGAGATGACAGTTTTACATGGTGAAGAAAACTGACTAGTTTCTTGTAGCAAAAGTAACCCATCAAAGCTTAGTGCATCCTTGGTTAAAGAAATGAGAAGCTGAATTGGAGGAAGGAATTGAATAGCACCTTGACTTCAGAAGTGGGATTCCCCAGTACATGGTTGTGCTCCTCTTTAGTCTTGTGGTATCTTTCGATTACGGATTTCATGCTGCAAAAAAAGTAGTACAAGGTGACAATCAATTCAATTTCATGCATGCATGCTTGCCCTATTGTGGCTGTTGTTGTCACTTCTCACTTAGCTTGCATTATTGCAGGGCGAATCAGGTTGACTGAGCACAGCTACTTTTTGCATGTGCATGCATAGAACCGTACGTTTGCATGTTACCAAGTGCCCTAAAGAGAATTAACTGGCGTCTAAGAAAAGAAACCCTACTTTACCAGAAACACACGGCCATAAGTTTGTTGCTCTCTAAAAATCAAGAATAATATTGCTTTGTGGTATGCAAGGTTCTCAACCAGCGGGTATACCCGGACCTGGTCGAGTTAGTGGGTCAAGGGTTAATGGGTCAACCGTTTTAGCCCGGTTTGACACGGAAATATGGAAAAAGTCATTACATTGTCTTATCCTGATAAATTATATCAAATCTTATCTAACATATGAGTTATAACATATAATATTACACTAAAACAATATATCGTACTTAGATCCAACATATAGTGAAAATTCACACACACTTATATAACATCAATATTCAAATGCTCAACTTAGGATTTCAAAGATTAAGTTAGGCGAAAAGAAAAATCGGAAATAGGCTCATTTCGCAAACAAAAAAAAAATGACACAATTTGACCTCCAACCCGATACCTTGTAGCGGTCGATCCAGCGGATGCGTGCAACCCATTTTTCTCACCGGGTCATGGTCAAAGTGGACCGACACGCAGGCCAACCCGCGGTTGACAACCTTGGTCGTATGGTTTTGTGATCCAGGTATGAAATAGGAAAGCCGATGCATTCTGGGCAGGTCAAATTGTCCAGAAAACGGACCCAGTTCATTCTTTGTCATCAATTGTTTCAGTTATGAATGAGTGCGCTGATTTGTCCAAAAAAGAAAAAAAAACAGATGGAGAGAAACTAAATCTAGCTTGCTAGTTAGAACCGTCTCAACTCAACAGCTATCAGTTTTTACCTAGCTAGCTTGTTAGACCACAGTTTTTACTAAGATTAATTATGGTAATTTTGATGCATAGGGAGCTTGTTAGAAGCTAAGCAGCTTATACTCACATTGAAAAGGTGTTAAATTTTTTATATTATTCTATTTTATTGAATGGGTGATTTATCATTTTTCGTATTTAAGATTCTTTTGTAGCAATTTATCAGCTAAAATATTCAAATTGATTATTGTATATAATATAAAAAGATTGATTATTGAAAATGAGTTAATTGCTCAAATGTTAACAATTGCAAATTTATTGATTATTGAAATTGTTTTAGATAAGTCACTTTTAGATGTGACATTTGTTAATGTTATCATTTGCCTATAGATTCAATATGTTTCATTATCTTGTTTCATATCCTAATAAAATCAACAATGTGAACAAAATTATTTTGCAACCATCAAAATATATTATTTGGATACGAGCCATGTATAATACTAATTTCTAATTTAGATAATAATTTTATGCTATTTGTTTTTAAAAGGTAATGACATTAGAAATCTCAGATTCCGAGAAATTACAAAGAATCATTAATAATGCTTAGCAGATGTCGGTGTTTCTGAGCATAAAATATGTGCCCTTAAGTAGATGACTGGCGAGATTGAGGCATCGATATGGGTTGGAGTGCATCAGTTGCAAACAATAGAGAAGAGAGTTATCATGCCTGAGGAGAGTTGCGACTAATTCTTGAAAGCGGAAGTTCCGATTACACAATGAGCTACAATGAAGAGAATTTGGTGAACACGAGATGGATGACCGTCTTTGTCGCTTGTGAAATTTAAGGGAAAGAAAAAAATAGTTTTAGAAGGAGGCAAAACAATTATATGGATTACAAGTAAAAGAAATGGAAGGATAGAAGTGTTCGTTAATATGTTAATATATTTTCAGGATCGAGCTCGGCTCGTGTTCGTCACGAGCTTTAATATGCAAGTTGGAGCTTGGCTCGTTTATGAAAATGAAAACTCGAGCTTGACTCGAGTTTGGCTCACCAAATAAGCTTAACGAGCCCAAAATCGAGTCCAACACATAAAATGTTCATTTTAGCTCAAGATTGAGCTAGAATTGAACACAAAATTACATTCAAACTTGTAGTAAAGTCTAGCAAAACAAAACACAATATTTGTCTCAATTTCAATACATAAAATCCATGAATTCCAAATTTTTCTGATGCCAAACCGTTAAATGAGCTTGTTCGCGAGCTTTCGAGCTAAACATGGTATGGCTCGAGTTCGGCTCGTTTAGTTAACGAGCTTGTTCGTGAGCCAACTCGATTAAGACGAATCGAGTTTCGAACGAGTTTTTCTTGAATCGGATGCTGAGCCGTTTATGAGCGGCTTTGTTCATTAACAGCCCTACTTGAAAATATTAAAGCTCCGACTTGGAGTGGAGAGCACCTTTGAAATTTGGTTTGGTGAAAATTCATGAATGGTGAGCATTTAAGATCGATTATATTTTGGGGAGGTAGTGGGTACTTTCATCTTCAGGGTGTTCATTTAACAGAAAAAGACATCAGCCGTGCATGTGATCTAAAAGTTTAGATCTTTTATTCAAAAACAAATTAGTAAAAGAAACCCTCAAAATGTTAAGATCAGAAAATAATTGAGAAAGGTAGATATCTGAGCGAGCTGGCCTTGTAGAACGACTGACTGGAATCTATAACTCAGGCAAGGTAGAAATTGATTTAATCCTGCCAAGGCATAACTTGAGGACTATCAAACATTTTATGTCTTGTTTGAGTCATTTCAATAATTTGTTTTTATCAAAATAATCCCCACATGATAAACCCCACACAAATAACTCATAGATTCCACATCTAGAATCTACCCATAATTTGATTTCAAAATACCACGTATACAAAATAACTAATTCAAACGAACTATTAAGCATACTCATGCAAGGGCTATAGGAACTCCAATTCAGCAAATAATTTGAGTGTTGTGGAAACTAAGAATGTGCAGCAAGCTTTGAAGCTGGAAGAATGGAGTGCGGCAGTGCAGGAAGAACTTTTTTCCCCAGCGATAGTAAAAAAGGGCACTTGGGAATTAATTAGTTAGTAGATCATTGTGGAGATGTCAGTTGGAGAAAAATTGGGTTTTAGAATAAAGCTTGATTACGATGATAGCAATGCTGAAGAATCTGAAAGCAAGGTTGGTAGACAAAGGATAGACTCAGCAATATGGTTCAGAGATTATAATGACATCCTTGCCTAGTAGAAAGGATGGATACATCATACTTCTTTTGGGTGGTGAGGGTCTCAGAACCTTTAGATTTTGGCAACTGATTGTTAGAAACCCACTTTCTATGATTTCTAGGGACTGATCTTTGGCACCTATATGACTCGGAATTAGTAAGGATTGGGATTAAGAAACTAGGTATTTAGAGATAGAACTGGGGATTAGGGATTGAAGAACATAATTGGGGAAGAGCTAGGAAGAATGGCTGGCGGCCTTCGGGAGAGAAGTAGACGATCTTTGAGAGGGTTTAGGAGAGATTAGAGTTGAGAAACTATTCTTAATATTCTTCTTGGTTGATTATGAGTGAGACTCCAAAATACATATTTATAGGGAAAACACGAAAAAACCTTAATAATAATCCTAGTTGAACCCAAATACTAATAAACCTAATAATATTATTCTACTATAATTAATAAGATAAACCCCAAAAAGTGGGGTTCTAACACTGATCCAAGTTAAGGCGTAGGGATGACAATTTGAACCCGCCTCGTCGAGTATTATCCGACCTGACCCGACCCGACCCGCAGTAGCGTGGGGTGGGGCATGAGTAACTACTTTTGATTTTGATTATGACAAATTTGAAAAGTTTAAGGTATCTTATGACAGTGATCCATAACTTCCACCTTCGTGTGTTATTATAAAAAAATATTGATTGTATTTGCGTCTTTTGCAACTTTGAGTGGGGAAATAGTGTATAACAAGAATGCTTGTGTTAAGATTATGCGTGTACAAAGAATGTGTGCATTTTACATATTTAATGTATAGTAAGAATGTGCATATTAAGATTATGAATGAGGAATACTAAATTAGTGAGATTAAACATACATAATTTTTCATGTATTCTCCATACATTTTTACTACTCTAAATACATAGTTAAAATCGAAGGTTTCAAATGAGGCTTAATACTCGGCAAGAGGCAAGAAAATATAAGGAGAAGATTTAAGGATTGACTTGGCTAGCGAACATGCTTGTTGGGATTAGCTCATACTTGCTTTGCTTGTAATTTAACACCCCAATTAACTTTTTACGTTCTGACGAGGTTATGACAGTTTCGTTGGAACTTTTGAGGTTTTATTAGAAAAGAAATTCATAATTATATTCAAATACATGTATAAATTAGATATTTTTTTTGTGTCATAGTATAAATTATATATTTACCTATCTGTAATCAGTGGATTGGTTAACGTGGTTAGTAAAGTCTATATCCAATCCAAACCAGCTAAACTAAATGAATTGAGAATATTCACTAAATCAAATTAACAAAACAAAGATTGGTTAATCTGGTTACCATCCATTGAATCCCTTGATCCGCCCTACATAATACCAGATAAACGTAATGAAAGTTGCGGACTTTAATTTGTCGATTGGAACTTTATTTTTAGAGTCTTGAAAAACATGGGTTTCCCAAATCAGTTTACTGTTTGGATTAAGATGTGTGTTAGTTTCCCCATGTTAAGTGTTTGTTGTAATGGTGGCTTAGTCGGATATTTCCTTGCTTCCAAGGGGTTTAGGCAAGGTTTGTCCCTGCTCTCCTTATCTTTTTGCTATGGTAAATTGGTAATGGAAAATTTCACTTATTTGCTAGATAGAGCTGCTCAGAACGGTTGTTTCCTGCTCATCCTATGTGTAAAAAGCAAGGTTCAAAAAGGCGCTAGGCGTAAGGCGGGCGTTGAGCCTTTGCCTTGCGCCTAGCTCGCCTAGACGTAGACTAAGCGTGCCTAGGCGTTGGAAGAAAAATAGCTATTCGCACTGCATGAT